TGAGGATAATGATGATCCACTCCAGTCTCGTACTATGCTGCTCGCTCGACATCTCCCGCAGGACACTCGCAATTTCTTGAGCATAGTCCATCTTCTGGTTCAACGTCCGGATTCGTACGTTGACGTCCAGCGCACGGCCAACCTGCTCATAGTAGCCTTCCAGACCCAGTTCGGATCGGCTGTCCCAGAAGATGTCTGGAAGAGAGTCAGTGAGTTCTGAATAGTGGTTGAGCCTCGCGCGAAGGCTCAACAGCTCGCCCGTCTTCTGCAAAATGAACTTCCTGCCCAACGGCAAGCCGGAACCCTTTGATAGCACAGAGGGAATCTTTCTGGTGCTCTCAAAGTAAGCCGTCAGCGCAGTTTCCAGCACTGCAAGCTTTGTACTTCGGGCCAATCCGGAAGAGAATGCAATCTTGGCGAGGGTCGTGTCCAGCCTGTCGCCGTCTCGCTCTTCGAGCTTTGTGCCTAGGACTACGATATCACCCTTCATACTGCTCGTCTCCTTGCTCGGATCGGACACGTACTCCAGGTCCTCCACCTCCCGAAGAGCCGGCTTCAGCGGCGTTTCTGCCGCACTCAGCAACTGCTTCGTGACAACGTCTGGGGGCAAGGCCCAAGTGACAATTGTTCCCGAGGGAAAAACGAAAATATCACCGCCATTGACACCTCGTGCGTGGACAACCTCGCTCGCCTCGAATCCGCTCTGGTATGGATCAATATCAAACCCATGGGCCCGCAGAATGTCCAGAACTGCTCCCATATTAAAAGCTTCGGCAACGCACACAGCGTTTATCAGTGTAGGCGCAGACAAATCCATCGTCTCTGCTGGCACCTCTCCTGGTTCTCGTTGCGCCGGTCGCTGGGCAATAATCGCTACGCGCCGTAGGGAGTTCTTTGCGCCGGCGGAGCGCACCGCCTTACGCTTCGGTGCTGTGAGCTGAGATGATTCGTCATCTTCTTGCCTTGGTGGCCTCGCGGTCGGCTCGCCAGTGCTCTGGGAAAGGTAAACGTTCGAGGTGAAGAAGGTCCGCTTTCGAGGCATGCTTGCTGGTGTTGTGACATGGAAGTATCGCTGCGGGCAGGGCGTGGAGCGAGCAGTGTGCAGCCCGCGGCTGAGCGAGGATGCTATTGTGAGATGAGAAAGCCGCATTTTGAGCTTCGAGGCACCATTGAGCAATTCTAAGACACAAAGACAAGGAGAGAAAAAAATAACGTTGCTTCGCAGTTTCGCAGATGGCAGCTGTTGGTTGCTAAGTACCTTATGGAACCTTACCTAGGTAGGTACAAGCAGGGATCCTTTTCTTATCGATTGAGCTGCCTTATCGCACGTGATGCATTGCGGAAAGCTTCCCGCAGTCGCGACGTTCGCCCCCGGTCCTTTTTTTCTATGGAACTTCATCAAGCTCCCATAAGCCAAACGTTAAGTAGCCTCGTAGCATCTCAATCGCGGGATCACGAGGTTTTGCTAGCGAAGATGGGGCAATGCGGCCGCCGCCCATTTCCAGATCACACGGTATTGTCGTGACCAGGGGCCGATGGGTGCTTGGCCGCGACTGGCAAGCTGTGAGTACCTTCTCCATCTATGACAGCTCTCTCGGACTCGTAGTTAACATGGTTCTTCGACCAAGCAGCTATCCCAGCGGCACAGCTACCAGCCCAGCCATACTGCCGCCGCAATACAACAAACACCTTCTTGGCAACTGATCAGACCGTTCAAACGGTCCCCCCAGTCACATGAAGCGCCAAGAACCCCATCACGGCGCGATTCGATACGGATTGTGCGCCACGAGCGGTCGATATTCTCAGAATTGCTCCTTGCCGATGCTGCCGAACTGTATCGCCTTCCCTCCGAACCACCATCCGAATCCAAGCTATCCAATCTCCGGTTCCTAGCACAGTTGAGGTCCCCTCAGCTCAGCGTCATCACCGCACAGGAAATCCTCCGCCATGTCCCAGAGCTCAGACCAGACATTGCGCGCCTACTATGTGACAGTCGGCAATGGCAGGCAATCCTACGACAATTATCCGCAAGAGGTCATACACAGGCGGATGTGTCTAGTTGGGCTTGGATCATTATCCCGCGCGAACCGGACAAGAGGGTCGAAAGATTCCTAAGCAGACCAGGTCACAAGCCACTGTTTGTCTTGTTCTACCTGCTCACTAGCAGGCCGTACTTTCAGAGCTCCGAATCCTTGTTGGGGCTACTGAGATACTGTAATGAATGGTATGCGGAACAACAGAAGTCGTACAACGATGCGACGCAGGCCTTTGACTTGGACTCGGTAATTACACCGGTTTTGTTTAGCAAATTGCTGGACAAATTGTGTCAACATGCGAGCAGACTGCAGCCCGATGCGTTGCCTAATATCGCGGAGCTCTCAGTATCATACATCAAAATTATCCCGCATGGCCATCGCCAACCAGACAAGGCGTACAAGTTACAATGCCAGGTCCTCAATCGCGCTATACAGGCTGTATCTGTCGTATCGAGAAAGTCCCCGTATCAGTATAGCTCTTACAATTGGACAGCTGTGACGAAGCTTCTGTCACTATCTTCTACCTCGGAGAAGACCCTAATCATTGAGGAAGAGAGCTATCGGGCGATTCGGCAAGTCTTGCTAGCACTACCGAAAACAGCTTCAGAACGAGACACGGCCAGCACACTTGCCAGTCACTGGCCCCCATATCGGATTATGCGCGATGGCATGGAGGAGAAGTCTGGTCCTGAGGCCTACCAAAGCCGAGTTGTTAAGGCCGGCATCATGATGCAAGAGGGTGGATATAGCAAGAAGGATTTCGACTTGATCACGGATATCCTAGGTGGCATGGCTCCTGATGGCTCACCAACGGTTCAGACTAGGGCGAATTACCCGCGCCACCTTCGCTTTGAGCAAGGCGCATGGGCAGCTCAGATCCGTACGACTCGAAATGCACAAGAAGCTTGGGCCCTGTTCAAACATCCCCCAGAACCAGGGATGAAGCCAAAGTTTGAGGTGTACAGAGAATTGATAGCCAAGCTCTCCGCAAAGCCAGCAAAAGCCGGGCATCACAATCTCCCTGGAGATGGGAGAGAGGTTTTCCCCTACAACGACGAGAACCTCAGCGACTTCGAGAGGGCGCGGACCAACCCACCCAGCATTCGCAAGATTGTAGAAGAGATGTACAACGCAGGTATTCCCATCCGTGGACCATTCTTGGCTGGACTTATCAAGCAGTCACCCAGCATTGACGTCGCGTTGCATCACGTCGATTGCAGTAACTTGGAGGAAGGACTCAAAAGCAGTATTAGACAGAGCCTGAAAGACTACCAAGGTCTCACGGGGAGTGTGTTGACAAACCCGCCTCACGACATACTACACGCATTCATCGACCTGCTTTGTCGCCTTCAACCAAACCGAACATCGAATACACCCTCGCACATCTCCAACAAGAGCATGTATAGCATCCACTATGCATTTCAACTTGCGCAAATGGGCTGGGCTTCAACTGACGTCTCTGGGCGGGCGCCATGGGAGACGATACTGTTCAATTTGGGCAGATCAAACATCATGGTCAGCAACAGCATGCCCTCGGAGAACAATTTAGAAGTGATGCATCTGGCGGTCAAAGCCCTAAAGATGGCTGAGGGACATTCCGGGCTCAGTCTGAACATGATCACTGCATTTGCCAGTGTATTACGGAAAGCGGTCCAGCCCCGACTTGCTGCCTTGCTTATCAAAGATGTGGCCAAAACGCCAGTCCATCCTGAGGAACAGGCAACTGACGAAATGACAACGGGGAGCTCGCGCGGAGAAGATGCGGCCGCTTCACGGATTCTAGACGAAGATGAAGAGTTTCTGTCACTGTATCAGGCGCAGACCAGCAAGATCAAGAACCCCAAGGGCCGCATCTATCGACTTCATGGCCCTTCCAGCAAGTTATCATATCGCAAAATTCTTACCCCTATCTTTCAACACGAAGAGTTGGGCCACGGCCAGACACCAATCGAGGCAGTACAAAAAGCATCGAGCCAACTCAAGGCCGCGTGGAGAGCACTCGCCACCCTAGGTCCGGCGTCCAAACCCGATGTGAACAAGCTTGTGACAGCAGCGACGATCAACACATACATGCGCACACTCGCGTTCCTCGGCGATCGCGAGGAGATGGTTCTGCTGATGTGGTGGATCATCCGCGAGTGGACTCCCAAGGCCGGCGGGAACCTTTCCTTGGCGCACGCGCGATACCTTGCGAGGGCATTCCGTGCGTTCCGAGCCTACGCGGAACCTTTTCTCGACCAGGAGACAGTGATGGCTTTACGCGAGGAGGTCACGGCGCTGAGCGATAGCAGGAACGAGGGACCGATGCACTGGCCTTCCGATGAAGAGGTGGAGGAGTACATATACGAGGATGAGTGGGGAAATCATCAGAACCTACATGAAGTCATCAAGCGTGGCCTGGACATGAGGCAAGAACAATCTGGGTTGGAGGAAGTCACCCGGGAGAACGAGACACCCGACCAAAAATGTCGGATAGGAGTTGGACGTGTAAGATATGTATAATCATGCCCACCCACTACATGATGGGAATCTACAACAGAAAGGGCCAGCGTGGCAGGCGTCGTGCATCAAAAGGGATAGAATCGGGGAATACTTGGATAGAACCCAATTATTTGTTTTTATGTTCTGCCTTTGCTGGCTGCTCGGGCGGTTCTCGAAATATCGCCTGCAGCCAGCAAAGGCAGAATATAAAAACAAATAATTGGGTATCTATCCAAGTATTCCCAGATACCCAATTATACCAACACAAAGTTAACTCACATCAATGATTCCAGCCAATTTTATTTTGAATGCATGATCTTGAAAAGCAGCATCGTCTATTAGATTGAAAATTGCAACGTCTATGTTCCTCTTCCCTTTAGAGGCTGTATCTTTCCCCCTTGATCCAGAGGCCGTAAGCTGCTCCATTTAGCATGTCCATGTCTTCCTCAATCCTGTCCAAGAATAATCCAACGGGCCAGGTGACTACTCCTCGATGCTCTCTCTGGGACGCTTCATCTCAGGCATCTCACCATCGTCGCCCTTTCGCTTCGCGGAAGTCACGCGCACAATTCGCGAAGGTGTGCTCTGCGGTGAGTCTGCTCCGAGATCTTCGCTGGGTTCGATCTTGCTCACAAAGTGAGTCAAACTCTTCTCCCTCTTCATCAAACGCAACTCGTCAGTCGTATGCTCGAGGAGGGCGCAAGCAAGGCGGGGGTGAGTGAGCAGGAGATCCTTGACTCTGCTACGTAGGCCAGCGTCCGTCTCATACTGCGGCATAATCATTTGCAGAGCAATCTGCAGTCCCTCCTCATTCTGATAATTGTTGAGTATGTAGTTGACGGTGTCGAGAAAGTCAGCATGGTTGGTGTGGTTAGGCGCGATGGCTAGGAGTGCGATCTTGGCCTGATCTTGTAATTTGGCCATGTTGTACGTCCTTGCGTGAATCAGGACGCAAGCAGTCAGAAAAAGGCAGTGCTCACTGTAGTCGAGCTCATCGACTGTGCCTTCCTCGTTTGCCTGAGGTCTCTCTGGTTTGTTTTTGTGGCAGGGAACGTTGAAGGGCGTGTAAACACCTGTGTACAAGTACTTGAGGATCGCCTTGGTAGTGTTTGCTCCGGTGAGGACGAGACGTCCATTCTATAGGCGTTTTGTCAGCGAAGACGCCTTGTTTAATCAGTGCTCTTAAAGCTAGAGCAGTTACAACTTACCACCAGAGGCAACTCCTGCCAGTATCTGCACTGACTGAAGACAACACACTGATGACAGTGAAAGAGCTTCCCAGACGCCTCGATCGTCAGGTCGCTCCATTTGCTGGAGTTGAACAGGCTGTCGAGGTCAATACCCACCATACTGAATCTCCTGCGTATGTTGCGTAGAAATTTGGAAGTGTGCTAGGGAGAGAAAGGTTCTATACGGTATGATGTTTGAGATAGTAATCAAATTGAAGTGAGATGCATGGAAAGAAAGCGGCTCTTATAAAGCTATCTCCAAGCTTAGTCTCTCCTCGTTCGGTTTGTTTGGTCAAGTGAGAGATGTAAGTGATGTAAGAGGATGAAAAAGGAATAGAAGAGTTGGAAGGAGAAGGGCTTTTTATTGACGAGAAGCCTCTTCCTGTTCCTCTTAGCCCCAGAGAGAGAGAGAGGCAGGAGGTTGGTCTTTCTTTCTCTAGTCACTTTGCAAGTCGGTTCTCACAGAATCTCAGAAGCAATAGCGTAGTTGAGGAGATTCATTCTTCCACGTTACTTCCTTTCGCGACATACCTCGCGGATATCATAAAACCATCGAAAGCACAAGTTCCAGTCATCGAGTCCAGCTCTTTCCTCGCCAGCGAGTATCCTCACGTTCCTGGCGCTACGTTCTTGTATTAACCCCTTCCCTTCTCAGATCCTCATAACGACCTATATCTCCCCTTCTAGCACCGGATATTGTTCAGCGCTATGAGAAGAGGAACGACCTCGTTTCTTGTAGCCTTGAATGATTTTGAACTCAAAACTTTCGTCGCGAACCGCCTCTGCCTCTCTTCTCTCCCGGTCTCGCTCTCTTTCTCTCTTCCTACCACGTTCTCTATCACGCTCATCCTCGATCCAAAACTCATCAGCTCTGTATCCCTGAGCTCGAAGATCAGAGATCTTCTCTTGTGCCTCGACAAGATCTTTTTGGGTCTCAGACAGGGCGTCCAAGCTTGCTTCCATTACGTCGAGGGCAAGCTGCGGGTATTTGAGCATGGTGGGTTTTAGTCGATCTTGCAGCCGGCTGCTGATCAGACAGTTCTCTGCAATGGTGTTTGCAATACTTGCGAGGTGGATGGGGAAATCTGGGTGCTGGCCGCACGACTCGTAGAGCTCGTCGACCATGTCAGGGAAGTCGACGTGGTTTGTGAGTTGTTTCGCTGCCTTACACAACGCCCATGCCGATTCCCTATAGAGACCGAAGAGATCTAGTTCATGTGCCAGCTTCATGGCATGGATGGACCAGTACATTGAGTGAGGCCAGTCATTGCCACTAGACTCGCTCGCTCGCCGGATCGCCACCTCGTATTGCGCTTCGTACTTTCCAGAGTACAAATATCGCAATACAGTGCCAAGAGCTTTGCCATCATATTTGAGATGAACGATGTCAACTCCGTTGACTTGGTTCTGTAAGGCAGGCTGTTAGAACAGATCCAACGAGCTCCAGGTAAAATGCTTACCAGTGGTCCAATGGAGGCCACCACGTCTCTCAATCTCGGACATTGACTGAAGACAATATTGCGGTGAACGGAGTGCTCGGTCTCAACTCCATCATCATTATTGGTGGTGATGAGTCTTAGGTCGCTGTATTCGCCCGACTCTAGCAGCTGGGAGAGGTCCAGATCGCCCATGGCTGCGAGGACAGGGACGAAAGGTTTGTACAGAGTTGAGATGAGTAGGTAGATGGGCTTTCAAGTCGTCCAGCGACTTCTGTTTTCGTATGATGTCGATGAAGGGGGAATGAATGAAAGAAAAATCTCCGAGATGAAAGGTTGACAGACGATAATGGCTAGGTTGTCGAAGATGTCTTTGAACGTTGACCAGCAACAAAATCAAGAATGTCTGCAAAGAAGCTAAAGATGAGCCTAGGGTATGATAATATAGAGAAGAAAACTCCATTGAGATAAATAGTAGGTACGTGGGCCCGTGGCATTCGGATAAATGGGCGGCGGGATGAAGAGCTTGACGATTGGGTGGAACTTGGGAAGGAAGGAGCAGGCCTATCTTCGGTCCTTCCATTCTTTCTGACCTTCTTAGATTCAAGACAGAACTTGCGTGAATTCGTGGCGTGTATATTCGAGTCAATACCCATGGCTGGCAAATATTGCTCGCTTAGACATAAAGGCTCTAGCTGCCGCGTCTCGTACCCCCTTATACCTATGCGCAGACAGATCCACTCGAATCCTATCCCTTAAGTCCAGATCGTTGTGTATCCTATATGATCGCAAGTTCAAATAGCATCTCATAATCAGTGAGCCCTCCTAGCTGGTCTACACTGGAGCCAGACAAGTCGGTCGTAAGGGTCAACCGTCGCCCATCGTTATGATAGAGAAAGAGTCTCGAGGTTTTTGAAGAATCATGTAAACTTATCATTCTTCTACTTCCAATAATTAAGATATTCAGAACCCGGGATTTAAAAGAGTGTTACGAATGTCAAGTGAGGCGTCTTGTCAAAAGCGCGATGAACACCTTCCTCATCGTGCGGCGGAGTGACGATCATGGATCTGAGACGACAGCAACGCAACAGCGTGAAATTTAAGGCTGATGCCAGCTTGCCGTCCCAATCCTGAGAATTTTAAAAGTCTCGAAGAGGGTGGCCGATGAGCGCACCCAAGCTCCCAATGTCGACCCCAGTGAAACTCTTGAAGACGCCACCAGCGAACGAGCTCAGCGAATTGCCCAACTTGGACTTGACACTCGCAACGAATCGCCACTGTAGATTTGGAGTCAGCCTCTATTCTACACCACAATATGTGCTGGAACTTATGATTGCGTACCTGGAAGGCGTTCATGCTCTTGTCATGGTAGACAAGCCAGCGTGTAGTCTTCTCGTCATTCTGGCCGTACTGGAAAGAGGTGTCAACGACAACAGTGAACTCCGATTCGCCAGCAACCTGCTTCTTCTTGAAAGCGTCAAGGTAATTGGCTTGAATGAAGAGGACGCTCTCCTGATCCCCTATAGATAGCCGTAGTTAGTTCAAGATCGATCATCCATGTACGGTTTGGTATCAATATACCCTGGCTCTTATTGAAGAAGGGAACAGTGTAATACTCCTGCGAACGTTGCTTGTTGTTCTGCTGCCACTCAACAGTGACCTTGTTCCTGTCGATCTCGCTGGCCGAGACGAAAATCTTGTTGCCTTTCTCAACGACGCCCATTTTGATAGGATGTATGGGGATTGATTGATGAGATGGAGAACTTATTGCAAGAGGTAGACAGGTATTCGATGAAATTGTTTGATGGCTGGTACAGGAAAGAACCCATAGACTGCAGGGTAACCTCTTGCTTTTATAATTTTCTATCGTCTCGAGAGCGGTTTGCTGGAGCCAGTGGCTTTCTTCAGACTCCTTCTGTCCAAGGCAACAACCCCACATAAAATTTCAGATACGCAACAATCGGAAAGACCTTGGGTCTCTCTGCCCGTACTTCCATGCGGGCTGTTCGTTGGCTGTTCGTTGGCTGGTCGCCTCTGCTTCGAGCATCGTGATATGTTCATCGTCATAATCGTGCCGACCGCACATCGTCAGGCAGCCTCATTCCATGTACGACTTGAAAAAGCTGTCGGCAGTCGTAGACATCGTATCATTTGCCGCTTCAAGAACTGCCACAAGTCCCCTTCATCCTCGCGAGCTATGCTCTTCGCATCTAGCCATATTGCAGGTCTCATAGCTCGCAGGACTCAGCTCTCCACCAAGAGCTGATCGTTTTCAAGCGGCCAACTTCCCATGACATATAGCCCGGTCTCGAATACGGCCCACGACACTCCCAGGCATGTTGAGCTAGACATGGCTTGTCGTGAGCCCCATGGCACCAAAATTTGCGGGTTGAGAACGGCATATCATTCTCTATTCCGGTCATTTATCATATTAATAGTCTCAATGAGCTCCTCAGCCTTCGGTAAACTGTCTCGCCCATTACCATATTGGTTCAAAGGGGTCTGCGAGATGCCCGGGAGGCATAGGCACAACATGCAGATCGGCAGTTTGTGATAGTTGAAAGATGGAAACCCTCAGCTTGCCACAATCACAGACCCATACAGTGATTGGAAATGAATTGGCTACAAACGATTCATCGCAAGTGGTTGTATCGCGTACCCAGAGTGGCTTGCAGTAGGACTCTGCTTACATTTACCTGCCCTGTCTGCATTGCTCACCTGTACTCAGTACGATTTCTCCTCGGTCTTCGGTCATGGCTTATACCCAATTGAGTAAAATTTATCCTGAAACGCCATATCATCATCTCTCGCCTGTCGTTACTGAGTTTGTTTTTGCGCCCTTCCTCAGAGCGTAAACCAAACGGAGGATGGGAGAGAGTATCAATAACGATTGCCGACAACTTTACACCCCATGCAATCCTGCCCATTGATTTCACCATCGTATTTATCATGGAGATTTACCTGACATTAGTAGTATAGAGTCATTTTTGGGATTGCGGAGTTCGGATTTTCAGTGTGGTGACGTTGCTTCCTTCACATGTGGCTGGCTGAGGCCAACCCCGCAAGTTCACACAACTATCTAGGGCTACTTTGGTCGTCCACACGTCTCAGTCTAGGTAGCCATGTTGTTAGGGCTGGCTACTTTAGTCGTCCGCACGTCTCACCTTAGGTAGCCATGTTGTCTACACCAAGCGGTGTCTGCTGGTTCTACTTAACCATGGGTTAAGAGCATGGCAAAGTGGAGTTGTTCACTTTCGTTGTTGAGTACCTAGCCTCTCAAAGACTTGAGCCTTTACAGAACTGGTAACTGCCTCGCTTTGGGTACGACATCTCCCAAGGCGCTGCAATGACTTGCTTGTGACAGTCATCACACTAGGACCGGAAAGCATTCGAGATTTCGTGCGCAGCACTGAGGTGTGGAATCCGCTATGACAGGTCTTTCCCTGTTTTAGGGAGGTCATAAAGTAGAAGGTAATTAGTAGCCACGCACCAATATGAAAGTGCAGGCAAGTTAGCCGTGTTTTCGGAATTAAGAGGCCTTACATGGAGTGGAGCTGAGTGACGATACTTTAGTTCTGATTGTAGCAAGGCTGTAACTGTTCGGCGTTTGGAAGGGACATACGCGTTCCCTGATTTCTCCAACACCAAACATTGATCACACTAAATGGGATAGTGAAGTGAACCAAGTTGATTTGATAATAGAACATTTGTATAAAGCTTGTCCAAGTTATAAGCTTGATTGAGGCCTAAACTTTGCTATGAGAAACTTAGTCCCGCGATTAACCCATCTTAGGCCCAACCCCTCGCTGTTGTTGCCGGCCGGTCGGAAAGTAGTTCAGACGGATTCAGAGCCATATTGAGTTTCCAGCAGCACACTCAATCTTTCGAATGAGACAGCTTTCTCTGTCACACACATACACAAAGAAAGACACACAACTTTGACGCAAATGCCACTAGTTTTTGATTAGGATACAAAGTGTCGGCTACTCGAATCACTCTATACACATGGAGCCAACCCCCCTTATCCCCTTTCCACCGTTCCGCGAGCCAAGGTGATACTATGATTCCGTTTCCCCTTCCCCACGTTGTGCGTTTGATTTCATGGAAAACAGAAGAAAAGAAGAAGCAAAAACCTTCCTTCCTGTTGTGCCAATGTGGCACAAACCACTTCCATGTCGACACACCCTCCGTAAAACTGAGAAAAAGAACAGTCGCCCTTCCTGGCGATCATCTACCGAGTTTTGTCAACTCTCCTCCGAAAACTTTCTAATAACACAAGGGCCAGAACGCCAAGAGTCACAGGGTTGTTGGTCGAATCGAGAGGTTTCTCTCATGCAACTGCTTCCTCATGTACCCATCCATCCATCATCAATCAGACCACCACTTTTGCGTCGCTCAGTACAGCGGAACCCGCTGTCCCGAGTCGCAGGCGAGATTTGTAGAAAAAAAAAAGTCCCTGCCTCTCACACCAACTCCGAAAGGACATCGCTTCCCTGGCTATTCAGACACCGTAGAGTAAATGGAAATCGGCATTTTGTTGACGCAATGTACACCACGGCCGACTGAGCCGCGGATCGTAGGCATCATTTTTTTGCCGAGCCGGGCCGCGGTGAAAGTTGCACAGGTTGAGGCGGAGGCTTGGCAGATTGCGTCGTCTTCTGACCACCGTTGCGTGCTGCGACCTCTGCCAAAAGTCCGCTGGACACTGGAATAGGCCTCCGCGGATACAATTCCTGTGGCGGTAGGTAAGGATTGTCATATGGCTAGTTTGGCTTCCTGTACGGCTGCTGTTGAGGTATGACCGGAATGGGCACCGGTGTCACTTTGTGCGGGATTGGTGGAGTTCCATTCGGCTTTCCTACACTACCGACAGGGCTCTGCGGCTTCGGGGTACCACCTGCGGCCATGCGCGCTCGCATGTTGGCATTGTAGGGAGATCCTTGACCGTTCTGGTCGTCGGCGGGTACTGGAGTCATGTTGTTTCCTTCATGTGTTCCCTGTATCTTGGTCCCGAAAGCTGCGCTCGTTTGCTGTGCAGCGGCTCTATATCTCGCTTGCTCGGCGTGGAGGCGCTGCTGGTCTGTCCTTGCAACGGCTGTATTGTACCCAGTTAGAGAATTCATAGGTTGTTGAGGGAGGTGGCTACCATTCGGATAATGCTGACGGTTGATCGGAGGGGTGCCAGGCACGTTCTGGTGGGGAGTTGATCCGTAGTACCGTTGCTGCTGTTGGTGTGGAGTTGGCGAATTGTATTGACCAGCCTGTACTTGGGGCGACATGTTCCGCGATTGCATGTTGTTAGCACCATTGGCGTAGTAGCCTGCGTAGCCCTGAGAAGGCGTGCTTGGCTGTTGCGGGAAAGATTGTTGGTAGGGCTGCTGGAAGCGAGCATTGGGCGTGCCGTGTGAAGGCGTGCCTGCGTAACCAGAGTATTGTGGAGGTCGTTGTTGAGATCCATACTGAACACCCTGGTGACCATACGGTGTTTGTGCCTTTCCGACGTGCTGCGCATAGTTGGTGTATCCATTGGTGTTCCGGTAATTGCCCGGCTGACCGGGACGGGGCTGCTGCGCATGAGGCATCTGGTGGGGGGCACCACCCGGACGAGGAACGGAGCCTTGCTGCGGGGGCATGGCAGGCTGCTGTCCCGACCGGTAATAGCTGGAGGGCGCGATTGAGGGTGTTCGGGTGGGGGTTCCGTATTGCGCCGCCGCGTACTGGTTGCTGTAGGGGGTGGATGCACTAGGGGTTCGGTGAGGGGCAGGCCGGTTCGACGGAGCAGAAGCGGCGGCGCTTTGCTGTTGACGCATCCGGGCTTGCGTTGCAGCATCGTCCTCCATCACGCCCTTGTACTGATCTGTGCGGACCTCGAGCTTGGTGCTGATGAGAAGCTCCTCAAGTTGGTCACCATTGAGTTTAGCCACCGCGTAGGGAGGGAGAGTGCCGACAATCAGACTCAGTTGAGCCCTCAGTGCTTCGTACGTCATCGTCTCCTCTTCCGTTGGTGCCGAGACAGCACCGTGAGAAAGCAAGTCGCCATTGACGGGATCGCCTGCGTAACGATTCTGTGATGATGGCAATGTGAGGTTGCGGATGCGCTGATACGACAGCAAGGTCTCAATCATGTCGGTGACTTCATCGAGGAATTCGTCAACCTCCTTGTCGGCGGGGTCCTTATCCTTGGGTTTCGACAGGACCTCGTTCATGTCTTCCAGCGCCGGATCCACCAGCCATTCATCCCACTTCTCAATCGCCTCAGTGACGAACTCCTCGTCCACGTTCTCAGTCTCGGCCTTCTCACCAACGTGGTTCTCAAGCGTGTCATCATCATCGACTTCCTGCAACTCGGATTCGATGAGGCGATTGAAGTTGCGCTGTCCAGTAAGCTGCCAGTACATGCGACCAGCATGGCTGGACGGAATGACGGAGCCGGAATCGTCTCTGACGGGCGCAAAGCTGGAGAATGCGCTGCGAAACAAGGACTCCATTTCGTTAACCTCAATTTCGGTAGATGAGGGTCGGTGACCTGCAAGACTTTGAGCGCGCTCGCGCTGTCTGGTCTTGCTCTTAGACGAAGGTGCCGCGTTGGTGTAGTCCAAGTAGCAACCGACTGCGACCTTTTTGCTAGAGTAAGATTCGTTGTAATACTTGGACTTTTGCGCCGGCTCGGGATGGTAGAAACCAAGGACGTTTCCCTTGACCAGCTGCTTGGGTTGCTTAGGCGGCTGCAGTGGAGGGAGAGGTTTGCTCGAGGAGAAGAGCTCTCCGAGAGTAGCTGATCTTTCGCTCTGGCGAGAAGGAACAATGTAGGTTTTCGATATGCCTAAGGGAAGTTCCATAGACGATGCCTTTGCAGCCAAGCTCTCCTGTCCCGGGGCCTTCTTGGGCAGACTTGAGAACAGTTGCTTGCCATGAGGGCCAGGGCCAACGACCGTTAAGACAGCGTTGCCTGGAGTGAGTTCCGGGGCCGGTTTGATGTTGCTGACGTTCACAGCGGTGCGTGGGTACGATATCTCCCTTCGAAGGAGGTCCATGGCCTTTTGCTGAAACTCCTTGGTCTGCACCACAGCGCCGCCATCAATGACGTCCTTGTCCTTCTCAACCTTGTCCGATTGAAGTTCCTGAAGTTGATCTTTGACGGCTTCGACGACATCGGCCGCGAGTTCGTCGACATGCGAGTACGAGTCGTGGTTGACCTTGTCGGCGATGGTGGCTGGGCTATCGGCGGACTTTTGGCGTTTCGCGTCGGGCTGCTCTGCATCGGTTTCGGGAAGGCGACGCTTCAGAATTGACGGGTTTGCATCGAAGCTTTGGACTGCGTGTCAGTACAATGCGGCCTCGGGGCTGACGAAGGGGGAATGGGCGCGCAGCCAAGGGCGCAAAGGGGGGCGCGGCAGTCGTACCTGCTAAGAACAGCAAAATAGTTCTTGATGAGGGGTTTATGATCCTCCTTTGGGGCTTCAGCATCGACTTCCATCTTCTCCGGTCCATCGCCGTTGACCTCGTCGCCCTCATCCTCGGTGTCGCGCTTCCTCTTCACAGGGACGACGGGCTGGGGGGACTCAGCATGGTCCGGTCCAGGGATGCCGTTTGCCTGGACCGAATCCGGCTGCGCCATTGTGAAAATCGTCGTCGTGAATTGTGGTTGTGGCTATCGATTGAAATTATCGCGATGCCAGGGCGTTTCGGGCGGTTCGTTCTGTCGATGTCGCGCGGGACGACGGGGGTGGTAGGTAGCCTAGTGGAGGGCGGGATTGTCGCGACGCGCGAGGTTCGTCGGTCGCTCGTCTTGGTGGAACTCCAAAACCTTTTTTCGTCAAGCGTCGCGAGGCCAGGCGTGTTGGGGAACCTTTTCATCCAAGAACACACTCAAAGACAAGCAACGGTACTCGGAAACTGAATGGGGTCCATCAAAGTCGCCGTTTTTGGATTTTTCTCGCCTTGCAAATGCTCCTGGAGCAATTCCCCTGCGTGACTGTCGGGAGGCTATACTGGAAAATTGGACAGAACCACGGGTCCTTGTTGGTTGCTGGCGAAAAGGCACTGAGCTGAGGTCAGCAGCGATTGGCCTGCCGATCCGAATAAGCGGACCTATTACCCACGTGATGATCTGGCCCGTGCAGAGAGAAGAGTGGGCTCCACGTTACGCTCACACCTTCGTGACTTGATGTTCAGTTGAAGTACCTTTACGGTTGGTAGGAACGCTCTCATTTCAGAGTTGATGCACAGAGGGTAGCTTGTTGAAGCTTCCTTCTAATATTGCAAACAGTATTATTGATTTTGTTCAATACATGGCCTATGAGATGTCCGCAACATCGCTGCAATGCGGGAATTGTGATTCTATGAACCTCTGCAGCACAGGTCGAGCTCCTCAAAGGTGGGCCTAATTTCACCTAGATAATGCACAATGACACAGATGCTGAAAGACAAATGCTACTATTGGTATTCTCACAATGGTGTCCAGACTAGCTACCTATCGTAGTTACATTACAGCCGCACCCTGGATCTGATTGACCGAGTAATCGACGTATTCTCAAGGAAATGGGGTTATGAGTAGGCGTTTATTTCTTAGCCTTGGCCAGACCAACGGCGTTCTTGCCGAGGTCGTAAACAGAGTACCACCGGCGCAGGAAGGCATCTCCCAAGATGACAAGGGGGCCGACCGGCTCGGGGAAGTCCATGCCCTGGAAGGTGGAGATGCAGCTGCCAGAGACCTCCAGGACATAGTCGTAAGCGGAAATGCTGAAGTTGTAGCCAGAGAGAGTGAAGGTGATGTCGGGAAGCTCGTCACGCTTGGAGCACTCAACAGAGTACTGGCCGTTGTAGCCCTTCTTGGCACCGATCTCCTTGTTGAGCAGCTCAGCAAGAGCAGAGGGAAGGACGTTAAGAGAAGTACCGGTGTCAAGGATGGCACCGTGTCCCTCAAGGTCAGCGGTCTCGTCGCCAAGGGTAATGGCATCGAGGTCGACCTCCCAGTAAGCCTTGCGGCGGAGGGGGATGTAAGTGATCTTGCCCTCGTAGTGAGAGTCATCGAGGCCACCAAAGGTAGCCTCGCTCTCATCACCCTCCTCGTTGGTGTCGCCGAGGTAGAAGGCGAAGACAGGCTCGTCAATAGCCTTCTGGTTAACAAGGTTGTAGAAGGGGGGAACAATCTTGTTGACGGAAATGGTGTCGTAGCCAAGACCGAGGATGCCGTCGAAGCGGCCGAAGGCAAAGGCAAGGCCAGGCTCGCTGGTGGCCTCGGCAAAGTCCTGCTTCTTGATCTTAAGATCGCCAATGGAGACGTCATCCTGGGAGACGAAACCAGTCAAGCTGCCAGAGCCGTAGTGGATCTCGAACTCGGAGCCGTTGGACTTGTAGGTGGACGACGACGAAGAGTCATACTTGGAGTGCAGGTAGCATGCAATGCTGCCGCACTGCTGGGAAGGAACCCACAGGTTGGAGCTACCAGTGTCCAGAACAACCTTGAAGGTCTGGGGAGGAGTACCGATCTCGATCTCGGAGAAGTCTGAAGTGCGAACGTTAGTTGACTGATGGTAACTAACAACGAGGTGAATGAGACATACACTGAGCGTTCATGAAGTTGCTCACAGGCACGGGGTGCTCGCCAGTGCTTGTGAAGGGCTTCTGGTTGAACATGGCATCGGCATGGCTGTCAGGGCGGGCGCCCATGTACTTCTGGCCGAGCTGTCTGACTTGGTGCTCGATGGGAACAGAGTTCTGAGGATGGCGGCAGTCAGTAAACATTGTTGCGGATATACAGGATGATGGGCCGAACATACAAGCTGCTCCTCGATGGGGACCTTCTTCAGCTTCAGCTTGTGGACTTCGGCCTGGGCCGCGCCCAACAGCACGGCCGCGGTGAGGAGAGTGCTCTTCATCGTGGCTGTCAACCTCGATTACCCAGATTACGATGGTGTTTGGCGCCCTGCGTCTTCGTGCTGGTGATACTGAGGAGATGGCGGTTGAAACGGATGGGGGGGATGATGATGTGTTGACGGGGGGAAGATGCGGAAGCTGGGGCGGCGCCTGTACCTATTAAGTAGGTAAGTACCTTTGCTGTGGCAGGCAGGTGTGGCAGGCTACCCAGACCAGACTTACCTTAGCAACTGCGCCCCCGTGACAACCTGCCCACTCGCCTCCGCAAGGCACGAAGGACCATGACGCAGCACCCGATAGGTGCAGGTATCTTATCTGCCTATCAAAAGCTGGGGTTGACTGTGTTGACCCACTTTAGCTGGCTGGGGGAGCAACCATGGAACCTAAGACGGCACGGAGCTGCCCCAACTCGCCCAAGGCACGCAGCGAGTTAGAAGCCCGAGACAGAGCTCCTGGCAGCTCTCACACACTCGGTGACACTGACACTCACACTGCTCCCGTCTCCGTCTCTCACACTCGCAGGGTGATGCGGCTGCCACTACGGGGCTTGCGTGTCCGATCGCGTGTCCCTGCAGCCTTCTACACCTCGATGCCGCTCAGTTGATCCTGCGCTGGAGAGAGATGCGCTGCAGCATTGCTGAACGCGCCGGAGTGCAAGGTAAGCAACGGGCTAACATTGCGACGGGGACCTTGACATCACGCAACGAGGTGGATTGATGAGATAAGGAAGATAGCTCAGCTCGCCTTCGGTAATCGATTCCCTGACTCTCTCTCTTACTCGGGTATTCGTGGGCCAAGCTTGGCTTGCTTACCTTATTGCTCCAACATCCGAAGCGTGCCTGAAAGCCCAGCTGCCTGCATCTGGACGGACGCCTTGGTACCTGAGGCCATTACATAGATCCTCCGCTAGGCTGTCTCGGAGCTCGGGGCCAATGTGGATGCGGTCCAGATGAGTCAGCAGTTCCTGGAGGAGAGCGTGACCCATGTTGTTGAGCTAAGGTATCGAGGCCTTCCAGGTTCCCTCGCGCCAAATGCGCTTTGGAGATGGACTAAACTGCACGCAGGTAGTCGCAATTGCCTCAGTGTTGGCCCAGCTCACACTTTGTAACTGCTTCAACTTTAAGCTGGAATATCTTGGTTCACGTCAAAGCCGCATAGAGTTTGATGTGAAAAGTCTTGAATTATCTGGAGTTGCCGTTCAGACACTGGCCAATCACAGGTGCGCTTGAAATGAGCTAGGAGAAATGCAACTGTCTTGACTCTCACCTTTCGCCGACATCGCAACTGTTCCATCTTGGGGTCTTTGGTCGTTCTCATGTAGTCCAAGTGCATCAAAGTTGCGATGAATGGTTCTTTTGAATGCAGACTTGCCTCGCCCACTACATCGTCCCTAGCACAGATTTTCTATGATTGAAGCTATAGCTGAGCGCTGAGACGGAATATCGCTGTCTGTTTCAAAAATGACTCTTCCTTCTCGGGTGGTTTTCTCGACGCGATGCCCCCAGTTTCCCCCAATTTGTCGAGAACGAGGTGGCTGGAAACTCACTCACGACGCACATCACTCAGGAGAAATCGTGCGAATTGCCATTCTTTGCGGAGAAGAGCTATGCGCATGCTGTTGAGTCACAGTTCAATTGCCACAAATGGTCCGCTCGTAATATTGTCCCGGCTCACCCGAAGCCTTCCTGACTGAAGCTCTAGAGTCGGAAGTCGTGAGACGGTTGAGGCGGGGGAGGTACGAGTACCTAGCTACACTAAACGGTCCAACCGCATCCCCGTCGTCGTGAAATGGGGTCCGTTTCCTCGATGACTCGTGGAACCGTTCCAGAATCGGAGTCGACAAAACCCGCCACAGGCTGTGAGTTCAGGGAAACGTCAGGGAAGCGCCGTTTTAGCGTTCCAACCGGGAACCACTTACAAAGTGGTGAGCCACACCGGGAACCACAGGGAGCCCACCAAAGGCCCAAAATGCTCCAAGCTTGCGGTCGCAAACTGTCGAGCGATCCCAATCTAGCGAACCAAATGCCTCTGAATTGTCCCTGCCATACCTTAGGTACCTTGAGGAAAGGTAAGTATACTAGTACTTCGTACCTACGTAGTATGCCTGTCCATTGTCAAGCCCATCAGTCGACTATCGAGGGGCCGCCACAGTTTTTTTTTTCTCCAATTCCACCGCGTACTGCGTACGACTACGAAGTAAGGTACTTACAGCTCGACCCCGCCAATCACACCCCGCCAACCCCCACCGCTTCAGCATTCGATTCACATTTTGCTCCCTCCGATGTTCTGCCAAATTTTCTCAAGCTTTTTTCCCATCCCTTCATAACCTTGCTGGCCTCCCTCTCTTCCTCTTCTTTTCCTACATCTACTTCTCTTCTTGCCATTGCTTGCGAGAATTTCTCTCTTCTCTTCTTCAACTTCACAATTACGATCCTTCGTAACACCACACATCACAATGGCTGCTACTGGTTCCTACTCCCTCCCCGTCTCCCACAAGGAGGTACGTCTACTCTTTCTTTGCCCCGCCATGCTTTACAGAGCTGTATACTGACTCATTGATAGATGTTGGAGAAGTCTCTTATTGACTCCGACCCTGAGGTTGCCGAGATCATGAAGGACGAGATCAAGCGCCAGCGCGAGTCCATCATTCTCATTGCCTCCGAGAACGTCACCTCCCGTGCCGTCTTCGATGCTCTTGGATCGCCCATGTCCAACAAGTACTCCGAGGGCCAGCCCGGTGCCAGATACTACGGTGGCAACGAGCACATCGACCAGATCGAGATCCTCTGCCAGAACCGTGCCCTCAAGGCCTTCAACCTCGACTCCTCCAAGTGGGGTGTCAACGTCCAGTGCTTGTCTGGCTCTCCCGCCAACCTCCAGGTCTACCAGGCCATCATGCCCGTCCACGGCCGCCTCATGGGTCTTGACCTCCCTCACGGTGGTCACTTGTCCCACGGCTACCAGACCCCTGCCAAGAAGTACGTTACCTTACGCTTGCCACACTTTAGCGAAGAATCATGACTGACTCTCGTTCCCAACAGGATCTCTGCTGTCTCTACCTACTTTGAGACCATGCCCTACCGCGTGAACCTCGACACCGGCATCATTGACTACGACCAGCTCGAGAAGAACGCCCAGCTCTTCCGTCCCAAGGTCCTCGTCGCCGGTACCTCTGCCTACTGCCGTCTGATCGACTACGGACGCATGCGCAAGATCGCCGACTCCGTCGGTGCCTACCTTGTTGTCGACATGGCTCACATCTCCGGTCTCATTGCCGCCGGCGTCATCCCCTCCCCCTTCGAGTACGCCGACATCGTCACCACCACCACCCACAAGTCCCTGCGTGGCCCCCGCGGTGCCATGATCTTCTTCCGCAAGGGCGTCCGCTCCGTCAACGCTAAGGGCCAGGAGACCCTCTACGACCTCGAGAACCCCATCAACTTCTCCGTTTTCCCCGGTCACCAGGGTGGCCCCCACAACCACACCATCACTGCCCTCGCCGTTGCCCTGAAGCAGGCTGCCAGCCCCGACTTCAAGGCCTACCAGCAGAAGGTCATTGACAACGCCAAGGCCCTTGAGAACAAGTTCAAGACCCTCGGCCACAAGCTCGTCGCCGACGGCACCGACTCCCACATGGTCCTCCTCGACCTCCGCCAGTTCAGCTTGGACGGTGCCCGTGTTGAGGCCGTTCTTGAGCAGATCAACATCACCTGCAACAAGAACTCCATCCCCGGCGACAAGAGCGCTCTTACCCCCTGCGGTCTCCGCATCGGCACCCCCGCCATGACCTCCCGTGGATTCGGAGAGGCCGACTTTGAGCGCGTCGCCAACTACATTGATGAGTCCATCAAGATCTGCAAGGAGGTCCAGGCTTCCCTGCCCAAGGAGGCCAACAAGCTCAAGGACTTCAAGGCCACCGTTGCTGGCGGCCAGGTTGCCAAGATCAACGACCTCCGCAAGGAGGTTGCCGAGTGGAGCGGCAGCTTCCCCCTCCCTGTTGAGGGCTGGCGCGTTGACGCTGGCATCTAAATCATGCCAGCGGCTTGTGTGGCGAGAATTGGCCCACGTATGCCAGGGAGCATGACGTGGGAAAAGGAGTGGATCAAGGGAGGAATCGATATATACCACTCTGGGCTTTGATTATGCCCAGTTCAACAAAAATGGTTCAGAAGGGAATAAGCGTGGGGTGACCCCAATCGTCAAAGGGGTCCGGGTTCCGCGCATGACATTTAACATGGCTCATGAACAAAGGGAAAATGTGCTTCACAGACTACTGCTGCATTTTACATAGGCGTTGCAAATATTTCGAGCGGAAAAACAAATACCGGGAAGGGTAGAACAAAAATTCTGGGGGCGGGAGTTGGGGGTGGCGTTCTCAACTGCGGCCATATTTTAGGTAGCTGGCTGCTTCAACGCGGTCAATCGCTCAATGCAATCAACACGTTGACAAGCAAGCATATGTGTCTTTTACTTGTGATCTATTGATATTTGAAACGTCGCCGTTGCGCCCTATTTGTGGCGTTGAGACATTCGAAAGTTAGCCTCGAAGCCATCTGTGGCAATATTCCATGTCCAACGTTGGACAACGACAAGGAAGAGTTGATTCGACATTGACGTTCTTTGATGAAGAAGCCCCGTTGCAAAGCATTGTTCTCGGCTTGAAAGCTATTCCGTTTGTACCTACTTTACAATGGACTTGTCTTTCTTTATACACGACAGCTGCCCATTCAAATTGTCTGAACTTACACAACGAACCTTTCTTCTTGGCACTTGTCCATTCACAACGAGCTTGAGGCCGTCCCACGCAACTGTCCCGAAGACTGGTATACATAACCAACAGTCCTGTCCGAGGTTTCCATCTCATTCTCCTCTCGACAGATCAGACAGCAAACGCAAACACTCTACAACAATACACCATCTGCTCGAACACACTTAGACATCAACGCATCGATCGTCAAACTTGTAAGTCACCAACCCCCAACTAACGAGTACAGTCCATCATCTCCCGCTCTCATCCACCTAAGCAGAACATCAAATCTTGGTCCCGAAGTCCAGGTAAGCTTCCACCACAAAAATGACTAGACTAACATCCCTCCCCGTCATCCTCCTCGCCCTCGCCAACATCACACCAGGCTTGACATTCTACATCCCTCCTTTCCTAAAGCACCAAAACAGCACAAACGTAACCTACCACATCCCACCTCCCCCTCCATCATCCTCATCTCCATCCTCCCCCTCGGACAGCATCAGCAACATCTCCAACCTCCAAACAACAGATCCCTCCACGCCACCAACAGGCCCCTTCTACTTCCGCGGCAACCGCCGCTACGAGGACGAAATCTGCGGCGCCTCCTCCTTCGTAGGCATAACTCGCGCAACCTCTCCCCTCACAACAGACTGCCTCCTCCTCGCCGACGAGGCAGCAAAAGAGCGCCACGTCTGGTACGTCCGCGGCTTCACCGACAACACCACCATCCTCGGCATCCGCACCCACGGCACCTGCAACTTTGGCATCCGCCCGCCCTACGCGGATGCCCTCCCGAGCATCAAGACGGGGTGGTACGTCGGCGGCGTGGACGTCGCGGAGGTGGTCCGCACCGCTGTGCGAGACTATAATGTGAGTGGACAGACGGGCGCGAGCGGGATGATGCATTGCTGGGCGAATAGGGAGAACCATGTCGATGTACAGTGGGCTATTTACGGTTCTGGGGAGCAGGGTGAGGCGGGTTACTTTTGGGCGCCGCCCGTGCCGGTGAAGTCGGGTGCTGCTGGGAGGGGAGGGTTCGTGAGCACGAGTGTGATTACAGGTGTGTTGGTTTTCTGGTTGTTGTTGTTTTGGTACATTGTGAACTGAGTATGGTAGAAGTATGGTCGTAGGCACTTTGTTTGGTAAGTCGCAAGAGAAATGATTCAAGATTTCGTTATTATATGGACTTCGACCAAGGCGTCGTATAATTGGAAGTTCAGCATGTGTGTCACCAGTAGTGGAAGTTAAGCTTCACTTGAAGTTCGGCTTCCTGCAATTTCAGGCAACACCATGATTTCATGTGAAAAGCATCTCTCGCTCACTTTAGGATATGTCCCCTTTGCCTAGCGCTTTTAGGTCTGAACTTGTGGAAGTGGCTCAGCAGATCGTGTATAAAACGAGAAAGCGTATGCTACTCTATGCCAGCTGCTGCCTTCGCGATCTCGCCAATTTTAAGTTTCGTGTCATGTTGCCTCAATCAACTTTCCGAGTCGTCAATAGCACGGGCCCGTACCCAAACCTTGATGGGTTATCCAGACTGTCGGGATCGTGCACAGCTCGCACACTTGTGCACCTATGAAGAAGATTTTTGGCGTCGTGACTGCAACGTGACTCAATGGTATTCTGGTCTTGCTTATGGAAAAGAAAGGTGTGATCATAGCTATTCTACAGAAAACGTCGACATCATCGTAACGAAGCTCTGTGCAACCTGAACAACGTAGCATCGAACCTTGATCTACTGAAGGCGTTCACGCCCATACCTCGGTAGCTATCGAGAAACACAATATGTTGCATTGTTGACGCTCATATTTGGAACCGTGACACCGCGGCGAAGTTCGTAAGGCGAATAGTCACCTCGAAAGGTCAGAAAGACTGCGTGGATATGTGATCTGTTAGGCAGACCCAAGCGAGGCTGAACTCTGATCCGATGTGAACGTCAGATCGCCAGCCCTTTGACGAACGTGTTCGTCTTAAAGTGGTTTCGAATGAAAGATATGGAATTTTGGCTATGAGGCAAGGAAACTTTGTGAACCTCAACAGTCGATCTAAGTTAAATTGCCGGGACAAATGAGGCCACAAGGAGGGGGAGGGGGTCGAAACCGAACACTTCAACTTGCCATGATTCCCACCAATCTGGATTATGTTTCGTTACCTCGAAGCAAAACAAGCCGTATTCTGGGTTGCAGTATTGGCTGATCTGTGGCTATTTGTATAGCAACATCACACGAGGCTTTGTCAAATGGTTGCAATGGGAACACGGAAACCAGGCGCTTGCATTCCGTAATAAAGCCAAGAGGAGCGGTCTGAAAGTCTCAGTTTCCGTAGCTGTCCCTTTTGGCTAAGGCAGTAGTCAAGTATTGGCGTCGCGAACTAGTTCCGATGGCAGCCGTTGAGAGTTTGTAGGCGCCGTCCTGAGTCAAGACGGCGTCACGAACTCGCGATAATCGGAGGGAGATCCACTTGTCGCTGGTCAGCTGTACGATTCTTCACCGTATCATCGGATGGCATTGGGAACCATGAGAGGTGATGCGACCAAACCCGTGTTGCTTGAGAGTCGTATCCGACGGAGCAAAGAGTCGTGTGAGGCCTGCTGAGAGCTGGGAAACAAAAAACCAATGTTGCATTGTCGTTGGGCTGTCAAAAAAATGTCAGAGAATAGCAGGCGCTGCGTTGTGTCACAGGAACACACCCACGAAGCAGCCTCTGTCGAGGTTCACCCGCTTTAGAGTGTGTTCAGAACTCAAGTTGCATATGCCAAGATGCCCGGCCAGTGCTGTATGAGTAACTGAAACTAAGAGCACAAGCGGCCGTGTCGGCGCTGCATGATGCATATCTGGTAGTGACGGGATGGATCGAGACAGAGAGACAAAACAGTGGCTTGCGCTAGGCTGAATAGCCGTACCTTAACTCAACGATATTGCAGGTGCTTGAGCTCGAGGACTGTTTCGATACTGCCGCTTCTCTTTGAGTCACCAGACCAGCCTGGTGTGTGCAGCGCATTCGCTCATCGACATAGAGCGAGGGCAATGAGTTCTTCGCCTCAGGTAGGACTCCATGTCTCCTCATTCGCTCTTCATTGGTGGGCCGCTCAGTGGTTCAGCTTCAGCGAAGCCTAGTGAGTCAACATTCTATCATTTTATCACGACTGGCGTTGCAAGTCGTTGCTGCTTACGTAGCCGCTCTTTTTCATCGTCTGCGCCTGCGGCTTCACCGAAATGGAAACAAAAGCGATAGGGTGGCGGCGCCCTCGCCTTCACATTACACTTCAGTGTCTTTTCGGGCGCATTTTTCTCGTGTTGCTTGTTGTTATACGTGGCCTGGACCTAGCGCCCGGCTGATCGCGACCATTTCCATGCGGCAAATCCGGAAGTTGAGCCATCACTCTCACGAGAGCTTCTGGACGACATGACAGAAACCGCACAGACGTGGGCGAATGTCTCTCGCTTTGCTGCGGGCTGCGGGAAGGATGGAGATGGACAGAGACAGGTATGTCAGAGACACAGAACGAGAGGAGCAGAGCAAAAGGGCAAGAGATCAAAGAGAGACGAAATCGGTGGCGCCGGACGGCAAGTCTCTAGCGGCGTCGCTATTGTCCTCCACGTTCCTTCTTCTCATCGTCCTCCTCCTTCTTCTTCCCCTTCTCCTTCTGTTCCTTGGGTGTGTCGTGGGTGCCATGTACTTGTGAACTTGTGGGTGTGTCTTCAAAGTCGGACGGCGGGTGAGGCGTCGTTGCATCGATAGTGGAGGACCCCGGCCATCTCGCGCCTGCAGATGATGTGCCGTGACGTGACGACCAAGTACACTATCCGTAGCAACTAGCAGGGCCAGGGCACCAATGGATCTTCAAATCCTTCCCCAAACTGCCCAAACTGCCCCTTCGCTGTTGCATTCTGGGGTTAATTTGACCTCCCGAGCTCCTCCTGGTAGGGGGCACTTCACAACAGGTGTTCCATTATCCATCACGGCGCACTTGTCCTAACTAAACACCCCTTTAGCGGAACTTCCATCTGTTCAAGCTTACCATTACCCCCTGAGTCCTCAAATTGGGTCTTGTCTCTTCTTTCCTGTCTTCGATCGTCATTTGGGTTCTCCCCGCGTCTGATGTGGCTCGTGATATCTCTTCTCTCTCTTTCCGTTATTCTCTTCTTTTCTCCACTGGCCTGAACCGCGGTTCCTGTGTGACCAACCCGCCCGGCGTGCTACGCTCCATCACCAGGACGTTCACGGCCCATCCGCCTTCTCTGTTGTTTAACTTTCGCAGCCTACTTATGGCGCTGCGCCTTCCCAGAACTTGAGAACGAGGCGCTCGATGCTGCTTGGTCAACTCGACGCGCAATATCATCCGCCTCATCTTGGCTCTCAGCTTTGGATTTCTACGACTAGGTGGCAGGAGTTCCTTAGTATAAAGACTGCCCCTCCACCCTCAACCCTGACTCTACGTTGAGCCGCATAAGGTAGTCCAAGAAGCCTATGAGCATCAGCAAATCGTAGAACAACAAGCCGCATTAGTGGGAAGAAAATAAGCATTCGGTAGAGAACCCCCCCTGCTGCTGACTCGGACTCGAGCAAGCAAGTATGGTAAGCTTTCATCTCATTCTCCCCATTTGTGTTACGGAACGGCCCGCCGCTATGCTCGGCAGCATCCTTGTTACACCCCGTTCCTCTTCCTCATCCCCCTTCCCTTTCCTCTAGTCCTTCTCTCGGCTGTCAGCTCGCTCCCTCTCTTTTTGTTGCTGACGTATTTCAAATAAATACAAATATGGCTCTCGGCACTGACCATCATAGGGGTCCATCAATAAGCAAGTTGCACGCTACGAAATCAGCGCTGTCTTCACTCATCCTGACGCCTCCGTCGATATCGTCCTGGTCCATGGTCTCAATGGTCACCCGAAAAGTACATGGACTTCCTCTTCGTCTTCGTCTCAACATAATGAAGGTGTGTTTTGGCCCACAGATCTACTACCGCAGTCTCTAGGAAAGACTCGCGCCAATATCTTGGTCTATGGCTACAACGCAGACGTCTATACCACCGGTAAAAGCACAAGTGCAAGCGACAACTTCATCTACCAACATGCTCAGACACTGGTCACAAACCTCACCCTCTATCGTAAAAGCGAGCGCACAGACAAGAACCCCATCATCTTTGTCGCACACAGCCTGGGCGGCATTCTTGTCAAGCGAGCCCTCATTTATTCCAATGACTTGAGAGACAAGAACCAAGAAGATGCCAGATCTATCTTCGTCTCCACCTTTGGAATCATTTTCCTGGGAACGCCACACGCCGGATCTGACATGGCAACATGGGGTATCGTTTTGCAAAAGATGGCAGACGCCATTGCGCCTAAGAAAATGTTTGAGAGCGAGTCGGTGCTCCTCAAAACCTTGAAGAAGGACAACGAGACTCTGCAAAACATCAATAGCCACTTTCTCGACTTTTACCAGCGTTTCAAGATTCACATGGCCCATGAAAACCACAAAACGGATATCAGAGGAACGATGGTGACGGTGGTTGATGCGAGTTCGGCCAGTCCACAACTTCCAGGCGTTGTTTACTACGGCATCGAGGCCCCTCATTCCGGAATGTGCAAGTTCAACAGCAGCAGCGCTCCTGGATACAGAAACGTTTCAACCGCTATTCGGACGTGGGCAGAAGAGGCTCCGCCAGTGATTCGAACCCGCTGGGACATTGAAATGGACGACAGGAAAGTCAGAGCACAATCCGAGGCAGCCGAGATCACCCGCGAGTATGGCAGTCCTCGAGAGACTATGATTTCAGGTATGCTCCCCCTTTCCGGAAAACCATACCATAATGGAAAGCCAATCATAAATCTTCAGTCTGACATATGCATCAAGAATACAGATATGTTCCAGCAGCTCAACAATCGTCACCTGTTGACACGACAAGCACCCGATCCGCTCCTGTTTCTGACTCTGCTACCCAGGTCCTGAACTTTGGTCCTCACTTTGTTCATCCCGACCGATTCCGACCCAACTCGTTTTTCAAAGGGCGAGAGAACTATCTTGCAGATCTTCACAAACTGTTGAAAGACCCGAAGAGGCGTTCAGAGGGGACATCTGCGGTTTTAATTCAGGGCATCCCTGGTGTCGGGAAAACACATCTTGCTCGACAGTATTACTTCAATCACAAGGACCAGTATTCCGGGGGCGCATACTGGATCAGGTCTACCACGTTACAAGATATGGAAGACGGGTTCTGGCGCATTGCAAAAACCCAGGCTATCAAGGGCATGGCTGCTCAAGGACATAAGAAGGACTTGTTAAATCCACACAACATGGTCGATATCGTCAAACGGTGGTTCAATGAGTCAAGCGATTGGCTGCTAGTGTTTGATGGCATTCGCGTCAACGACAAAGCGATTCTCAAGTACATACCCGACCGGCCAAACAGCAGTCTCATCTACACATCAACTGATCGGTGTGATCCTGGGTCTCATCTTCTTGACAACCCCAGCATGATGAAGTTGCCTCTACCACCCATTCAAGACGCACAGGAGTTGTTGCTCGAAGAAATGGGAAAGAAACACCCATACAACACTGATGATCTCAGACGAGCTCATGAATTGGTACAGCTGATGGGCCGCCTCCCTCTGATGATTCACGCCGCTGCTGTGAACATGAATACCACGAGGGAACCGCTTGCAAAGTATCTCAAGACCTTCCGGGACTCACCAAAAGTTGGCGAGCTTCCTGCATACATGGCGATTCGAGATCAGTTGCAGAGTCGCGGTAATCACGCCGCGTTGAATCTGATCTACATACTCTCCTTCTTCAGTCAATTCATACCGGTTGAACTACTGGCTCTTGGCTTGGGAGCTTTGGACAAGCGAACACCCGTGAAGACGGAAACGACAAAGGGCAGAAGGAGTCTGACACAGACTTTCGTTACTTTGATAAGCTTCGCCCTTATCGAACGAAACGAAGCTGATGACGTCTCTTCCTCGAGCTCGCAGAGCGGTCTCGACACGACTCCTGAGCCTTTGGATACACTTCGTGTTCACAGTGTTGTACAGGCCTTCTTTATTGAGCTTCTTGCCAAGGAAGGACAGCTGAATTTCTGGCTAGAGCGAGCCATCCGCGTCTTCTGCGCATCGTTCGATGAGGCCTATACCAGGATGAACGACGAGCCTGCCACTGGCCTTCCCGAAGACTACAGACAATATATTCGACACGGCAGAAGGTTGAAGGACCTTATTGACCGCCATATCGTTGATCGCCCAATTCACGGGTCTACAGAACAACCCAGTTCGCAGTAAGTGGGAAAACATCTTAAAGTCCCATCGCAGCCCCCGTTATGCTCCAATGTCCTGCTCAAGTCCTATGGCTGAATAAATGTCCAGTCTCTTTGCTGTCTTATTTCCATCACCCTCTTCTGTTCATTCGCTACAACTCTAGGACAAGCTCGATGAAGCGTACTGACGTTCAGAAATAGAACCGGACCTCTGAATCTTGACGCTGCTCGAAAAGATTTAGAAGAACGACTCGCGAAGGTGCCTGCAGACCTTAACGACTTACAGAGGACTATATCTACCCGAATCATCGACGGAAAGGAGGCCGCCCATAATTCTGTTTTCGAGCGAATGAACAGTTTATCGTCGCATTCAACAGACGCCTCTGGTACCGCAGTACTCCCTCAATCACCAGGGGTCTACTCGGCTGCATTGGAGCAAGAATACAAATTGCCGCTGACAACCCACAACCCGCTTCACTTCCACATGCCTTATGTACCTTACGTGGATGAACAGGCATCTCCGGTTGAGTACCAGGAGTCCGAGGATCGAACCATAACTCCGTACCCGCCCGACATTGAAGAAGGTCCATACAATGACACGGCTGACCCTGCGTGGACTGTTGTGGCCAGACACCGGTCAGTGAAGAAAAGGTCACTGAGGCGCTACCATGATCGTGGAGGAGCATGGAGAGAGACAGCCGTAGCGACAAATGATCCTCGTGTGAGCATCAGTCGCGAGTCTGCAAGAGGCCTCATCACCCCACCTCAGTCTTCCAGAGGCGGCAGATCACCCAGTCGGTCCAAAGTTTCCGCAAGAAGCGAAGCTGAGGCCGAACTACTTTACATCAAGAAGGGATCGCCACCACCACCTCGTGGCGGTGGCTACATACACGACAAAGGCAGAAGCTCCAGTGCCGGTACATCTGTAGGGCCAACCTCGATGCTTGGAGCTTCAAGTTACGCCAAGGCCGTGTCAGGAACCGCAGTCGAGGAAGAGGCCCCCTCATTTCCTACTTTCGCTTCTCCCCCTTCACGGGCCGCGACAATCGACAGGAAAGCTGCTTACGATGATCGGTCCGTCTACAGCCTACAGACCGTGAACAGCCGCACGCCTTCCACGGCTCTCAGGTTGAAAGAAAATCAATTTCCAAAGTTAACTGGTTCTGGAAATGCGTCTCAATCGACCGAACAGTCTCGCCAATCGCAGTTTCAAGAATCCACTTCGAAACCGTCTTTTCAAAAATTCCTGCGCCGCTTGGGCAGATCCGTCAGTGGGGGGAAGCGTCACGAAAAATCAGGCCCGGGAAAAGTTTCCTCTAGCGGTTCATCGATCTCGTCCATTCCGAGATCGTCGGAAGAACTCCCGTACACATATCAGGAGGATGTGAGAACAGCGAACTCCAGTCCGGGTCTGGCTTACTCACAACAATTTCCCTCCGGACTGTCTGTTGTTACAAACCAAGAGAGTAGTCTGCGACAGCATCCCCTCGACCGGCAGTCAAACTCCCAGCCACCGTACACATACCAGGATGAGTCTGACAATGATGTCCTTTCCCAGTCTGATCCATGTCTCAGCCGTCCAAGTCTGAACATCTTTCCCGCTGAGAATATAGCATATCGGCCACCGCCGCGGCAGGTTCCATCTAGCACATATGAAGACAACTATCGGCCAGGAAGTCATATAGATCCTACGCCACCAAATGGGTATTCATCGCAGCCAATGTCTAGGAACCCAAGCTCAAACCCTCGACATGCGACAGCGACTGGATCAGCAGGCACAGCCTTGAGCAGCAATAGCGGAAGTGTCAGGTCAAGTCTCCCTCATCGGCGAGCGCCGTCCATGGTAGAGACGGAACCCTCACCGCGTCTTTCCCCAATAGAAATGGGCCAGACTTCTTACGACATATGGAGGAATAGGCAGACTGGGCAGCCCATTGACGAGGCGCTATTTGGACGCAGCAATATGCCTCGCCGACTACCTGTCGGTCGTGTTCCTAGCTTCATACGGGAAAGTCCGACATTGAGCCCGCGGTCTCTCCCTGGCAACAGCGAACCAATGTCTAGATCCGGGTCCGGGGGTATCAGAACTACAGATGGACGGCTCATCTCGTTTGGCGATATTCCCGTAGACATTGAAGAAGCAGAACGGCGGCGCATTCAGGCAGAGAACGATCGACTGCAACGTCGGTATGAAGAGGCTGTGGAGCTTTCGCGACAAATCAGAACTGGCGAGGCAGACACAGAGTCTCCCTCAGAGTCAAGCCCCATAGGGCTGGGGCTACATATGCCTTAAGAGGGACCACAGCCAGATAACAAGCCTGACGCAAGACGCCTTAGAAGGCGTCTGTGATGAAGAACAGAATCGGCAGATTGGATTTCTTGTTTGACTTCTGTCTTACCTGAAGGCTTGCGACAAAAGTGTTGTTTGCGGAATTAAGAGGCTGGCGTTGAAACAGAACAGAACAGAACAAACCAGGTATTTTAGTCATTATATCCTTCTGAAGCGGCCGTGGAGGCCAAGCGTTTCTTTTGTTCAAGGGGATTACAGGTAGAGTACGATTAAAAGAAAAATTATGGCGCCCAGGTGCTTCATCTCTTCATGTGACTGGGAATTGGTGATTTACAGCTCTGTTGACAAGAATACTTCTACAGCGTCTGGACCCTGCGGTCCAGAAATCATCTCAAGCCGTTCCACGGCCACAGCAAATCTCCGCTTTCTGGTCTCTAGTCCTTCGGCGCCAGCATGAGCACGTACTCCCGCGTACTATGCCCCAGCTTAATCATATCCTTATCCCTCAGCTCATAATACCGACTCTCGGCAACCTTGTCCCCATTCAGCACCGTCCCGTTGGCGCTCTCGAGATCGATCAGGTACGGCTTCACCTTGCCGATCCGGTCACCAAACTCGTTCCGCTTCTCCACGTGCCGGAACTGGATCACGGCGTGCTGCTTGCTGATGCTCGGGTGCTCCGCCGCGAAGTCCACCACGGCCGCCTCCCGCCCCATCAGCCAGCAGCTCCGCAGGTTCAGGTCCACCGTGTCGACCACGTCGTCCCCCTTGAAGACGAAGAGCTTCCACTGGTCGCGGGCGGGCGGCTTGCGCGCCTCGGCGGGTTCGTGGTATTTCAGCGCGATGGAGGTGCCGTCGGCTTGTTGAACCGAGTTGGAGGCCGCTGCGAGGAGACCTGTTGTGCGGAGGTTGGGTTTTTCTTTTGGTTTTTCGGGTTCTTCGCCTTTGGAGACGGCGAAGGAGGCGTCTTGGTCCGGGAGCGGTCCCGAGCGGCGGATGGGGCTTGTGGGTGCCGTGAGGCGTTTGCGCTCTGAAGGTTTGGAGTTGTCGTCTCCCGAGTCGGAGGTTGGACTGCGGTCGCGGTGTCGGCGGCGACGGGAGTCTTTGTCTCTGCTGCTGCGGTCGTCGTCACGAGGGGATCGCCTCCGTCTGTGCCTGTCGCGATCGCCGCGATCGCGGTCTCGTGAGCGGGAGCGTTTCCGCGCGGAAGGGTCTGGTGAGCGCGAGCGGCGGGACGTCTCGCGCCTGTCGCGTGATCGTGATCTTCGTCGTTCTTTGCGTGGTGGTCTGTCCGAGCCGCGATCACGATCGCGATCACGTTCACGATCGCGGTCGCGGTGGGTGTCGCTGCGATCTTTGCTGCGTCTGCGGCGGTGGCTATCGCGATCTGTGGTATCTCGTTCTCGGCGGGGCCGTTCGTCGTCGTCTTGGTCGTCGTGGCGGCTACGTCGCGACCGCTGGCCACGGTGCTCTTCGTCGGAGCCCATCTTTCGTGTTGATATTTATCTTGCACTTGGGGCGAGGATTGGAGCCGACGATCGTTAGGCAGTTGCGTTTTCCGCCAAAACTCGGCTCCTGTTTTCGCTGCACAACGACACTCTGTGCGAAGTTCGACGCTTCGAGATGGAGCAATTGGCCGTGAGGAAATACGAATGCCTTCTCTGGAATTGCAATCTCGATAATGATGCTTTAGGCGGCCATGAAAAAGCCAGGAATTCCATCGTGAGCTCTGAGGTCATCCCGCAACGGACGTGCATTTTAGCGGCTAAAGAGTAATCCTGGCGCCCCCCACACCCGCCGTAGTGCCCGTCCAGCCCGGCCCCACCCCGATCCCGTCTGCATCCCGCCCGGCCATCCTCGACCACCACCGTCGTCCTTGCATCCGCAGAATCACAAAAAAATACCAGGACAAGAACAACAAAACACCACAGCTTCCGCTCTCTCATCACAGGAAACACGCCTACCTGCCTCAACAGCAGCCAAGCCGCCAACAACACAATATTTTCAAATCCCTCCAAAACAAATAGAAATCACTTTAGACCGACAGTCAAAACCACAAAACGATTCGGGACTAGCCCCTTCGCGTGCTAAACCCGGCCATTTGAGGCCTCAAAGGTCGCACAGGGCTGCCTCTACCGAGTAGCGAACAAGAGGGTCTGTAAATTCGGTTTCACTGCCGCGCTCTCACGCCGCTACTTTGGAACCACTCGCCCAACTGTCAACGAGAACAGAATCGCGGGACGTTATACATAAGGGGTAGGGCAGGGCAGGGCGGTCTCGTCAGTCCTGGTTGTATGGTTCGGTTCCTGTGATGAGAAGGAAGGCAGGTGCTTTGGTGGGGACTGCCTGCCTCCTTCTCAGCCATTGGACCGCCGTGATTTCATCCGGACGTGGAGCACGTGAGGACACGAGAGAAGCGAGGAGTGACCTGGTGTGCTACATCATGATGGGAGACTAAGGCACTAGACATATTTACTGGTTGATGTTTCATCAGATTGTTAGATACCCTGATTCTATACCTCTTTTGCGTTGCGCGAGTTGCGCCGGCTCATCTTCCAACACTTTAAATCGCCCCTTTTTCTACCTACTCTCTTCCTCGTACTCCTCGGATCATCATGCTAGGCTGAATTCGGTAATCTCTCCCATCTCGTTCTTCGCTTCCGCTCCAACCTTGTAAGAAATCCTCCACCGCAACTTGATAGATTGCACCTTGCGGTTCTTGTCCCCAGCATGCCATACTTCTACGAACTGGGTCACACCTCTGCTCTGCTTGGGAGCCAACTCTCGGCCAGTCTGGGGCCGGAGGCCAAGTTCGTAACCCTGGTTAATGTTAGCAAAATGACCTATCTGGAAAAGGCACGCGCAAGACTGACCTTTGTGGCGGCGAGCTGATAGTGAAGCTCTGAGATGGGCTGCGCAGAGTTGTTCGAGAAGGCGAAACTAAGATTGATCGCATTGCCCGTCCCCGTCCTCCCTGCAATCATCTCAATCTTAACAGTAGAATCGCTAACAGTCGCCTTGTGCTCCTTAGGCTGACTGGGCGCTTCAGGAGGGAGGGCTGACGAAAAGGCCCATTCGTCGTCGTCGTTTGCGGCTGGCGCTGCTGGCGCGGGCGCGATGGCGGGGGCGGGAGCTGGGGTAGCAGGCTTGGAGGAGAAGATGGGGGATCCAAGGGCGGCAAAGGGGTCGTTTGAGGTCGTGGCCTGCTGCTGGGGCGGCTTAAAGGCAGACATACCAGACGGCTGGGGTGTGCCGGACTGGGATGCTGAAGGAGAGGTGAAAGAAGCGAACTGCGAGAAGGATGGTGGCTGGGGTGTTGCAGTGTTGCTCATAGGTCCCTTTGCGCTGTTGTTTTCTGTCACGGAAGAGAGTAGCGCCGGCCCTGGGATGTCTAATTTTGGTCAGTATGCGGATGCGTCAACAACAAAGACTCTGTTTGAACATACTCGAATTTGCTCCGAATCCCAGAGTCAAAGCACCTCCTTGGCCGTAGCTTGCTGAATCGTCCATGGAAAGGCCGAGAAGGTCGTTTTCAATGCCTGCTGACTGTGAGGCCGGCTGACTTGAGGATGAGCCGTTCGTTGTCTCTGGTTCGCCATCAAAGTCGATCAAAGAAAGCTCTTGCGCTGCGCTCTTGGAAGGACCTGAAGTCGACGGCAGCGGCGCGCCACTGGCCACCTTCTTAGCGGCTTCAAGATCCCCCTTCTTCATGAACTTGTATCGCTCCACTGTCCGATGTATGCTGTCATTGATCTCCAGCAACTTCGCGACGGCCTCGTGGTCATCCGACTCCTCTTCACACATTTTCTGGATCTTGGGTTGCGCGCTAGACAGAGCGGCAGCAAGCTCAGAAAACACATCTCCATCCTGCATCGTGTCGCCCTGTTGGAAAGCTTCGAGTCTCTCTTCGAGCAACCTAGCCTTGGCTTGGATCTTGGCAACCTCCTGAGCGGCCTTGGCGCGGTAGTCGGTCTTGGATCGAGTATCGTAGCCGGCCATAATCTTCATCAGGCGGTTTGCCTCCTGGAGATCCTCGGGTGTACCTCGTCGAATGAGCTCCTGAAGCTTAGCAGATTGCGCCTCGCGTTCCTCTTCTTCCATTTCCTCGGCAGATTTCAAGTTCTACGCACGTCAGTATAGCTCCAAATCGCTGCCAACGATAATGAAGAGCGCCTTACATCGCTAGGGTTGAGCACGGCGGCGTCATCCCGCCTGACCTCGGGGAACGTGTACCCCTTGTAGCTCAGAAGACGATGCATATCCCGAATGAAGCCCAAGTCCTCCTTGTACCTGCTCGTTTCGCATATCGTGCTTCTCCACTCCTCAATCGCCTCGAGAATCTTCATCTGGACCCTCGTCGCCCGTATCGGGGGTCGCTCGGGGAACCTTCTGACGAGCTCATTGAGAAACTCTTTTGTGCTGATCTGCAGGTGGAAGGGGTAGCCGCAGTTCTTGACGCAGATGTCGAGCAGGTTGATCGCGAGGAGGGCGACGTTGGGGTTGCGATGGTTGATGTAGCTGACGATGGCGACAGCGGCCTCGCGTGGGGCGGAACCCTTCTTGGAATTGATCAGGTCGGAAATCTCGAGATTCAGAGCGAGGTTCGGCTCGTAATTCTCGGGACTGCAGGCGGCCTGAATGAAGCGCTGGAGCTGAGACGGCGTGGGAGCGCCCATTTCGCCCCAGCGGTCTCGGGCCGCAGCTCTGGCTGATGCGGCCTCCATCGTCGTCGTTGCGGCTGTTACGTTCGTGGGCGGCCTCGGGCGGGGAGGTAAGGGAGCTATCTTGGCGGGTTAGGGATCTCGTCGTTCGTCCAAATTTCTCAGGGTGAGAAGCGCATCCGAAGACGATGAATGGGTTGGGTTGGCCGTGTACAATTAACAGCTGGCCGAGCGAGCGCCTGCGAATTGGACAGATTGGATTAGGTCGGCGCAGGCATCCCTCATGAACCCTGTGATAGGTACCGATGGCATCTGTGGCCGAGTGACGAGGGGCTGCTGAGTGACAGGCGGCGCGGGAAGAGGAGCCACCAAAAGGTGGCCTGTGCTTGACCTACGGGCGGCTTTGCCATACTTCTGTACCTTATTCGGAGATATCACGCTTACTGGCATATTCGGACCTTGTTATGCACTGTAATGTTTTTTCTGGTCATTTTCGAGATTTGCCCCTCCAAACACCCCGCCAAACTTTTGTTCGCCCAAGGAGATACCGAACCCTTTGGCCTTCGTTCAGTCACCCTGCGATCCCACAGTAACATACCTCTCCAAGATGGTCCGCCACAAGAAAGACAACTTCAGCTCCCGCGGTCGTAAGCTCCACTCGGGACCGCCGCGACAACGCCAACCCCGCGATGGCGACGACACTGACGGCCCCTCCACCCGCCCATCCTTCAAGGCAGCATGCTGGGATCTTGGCCACTGCGACCCCAAGCGGTGCTCCGGAAAGAAGCTGATCCGAATGGGCATGATGCGCGATCTCCACGTCGGTCAGAGGCATAACGGCGTCATCATCACGCCCAATGGCAAACACACCGTCTCCCCGGCCGACCGCGACCTCATGGACCAGTACGGCGCCGCCGTTGTCGAGTGCAGTTGGGCGCGCATGAAGGACGTCCAGTGGAATAAAGTGGGAGGCAAGTGCGAGCGGTTGCTGCCGTACTTGGTGGCTGCGAACACCGTCAACTACGGCAAGCCGTGGAAGCTGAACTGTGTCGAGGCGCTCGCGGCGGCGTTTTACATTTGCGGGCACCCCGAGTGGTCGGAGCAGGTTCTTGCGCCCTTCTCCTATGGCGAGGCATTCTTGGAGATCAACGGGAGTCTGTTGAAGAAATACGCCGCGAGCGAAGACGAAAAGGGGGTGAAGAAGGTTCAGGAGGAATGGCTGGACAGGCTTGACAAGGAGTATGCGGACAGCAGAGAAGATGCTGACGCGGACGACATGTGGAAGGGAGGAAACACAAACAGGAGAGCCATGGTAGACTCTGACGAGGAGGAAGATGATGATGACGACGAAGATGACGAGAGCGGAGACGAGTCTGGCGAAGGCGACAGCGTTGACGGCATATACCTGGGCAAGAAGCCCGCAAAAGACCATGAAGAGGAAGAGGACGACAAAGACCCCTACGCGATATCAGACGACAGCGATGACGACGCGGCAATGGAGGAGATACGGCGCAAAGTTCTTGCGTCAAAGACGTTCTCTAACCCGTCGGCAGCAGAGGAGAAGAAGAAGCCCGAGTCGATAGCACGGCCACAAAACTTGAAGCCGGACTCTGATGTTGAGCCCGACTCTGATAATGGAGAGGACGATGACGAGTTCGACAACATCATCAATGCCACACCTGTCACGGACAAGATTGGGTTGGCTAAGCTCGAGAAGGAGCGGTCGCAAGCGACGACTACGAGTAGGACGTTCTCGTCGAATACGGTTTCTGCCCCGAAACGGTGGTAAAAATAAATGAATAATACATGACGAAGTTTGAGGTGGC